AAAAATTCAAAAGTATTGCCCAGACATAACAAAATGTTAAGTATCAGAAATTAGTATGCCTCTGGAAAATCAGCGTGCCATACCTCAATCTGTATCTTTGTCACTCCAGGTTTTAGTTATTACTTCAATCAGCCATTCAGCCTGTAACAGTGAAGTCCTCACAGCTGTGCATAAGGTTCCTCTAATCATAAGAGCAGTGGGACATTAAAGCAGATCTAGGAATCTGTTTTAATTGATCCTATTACAGTAACAAGGGCAAGGCCTGCCACTTTGAAGAGCTGCTAGGTAATAAATTACTTATTCCATCTCTCCATTGTGTCTCTCTGTTGCTTTGTCACCTTGGCACAATAAATACAACCTATTTTAAAACATCAGCAATCTTCAAAGGACATCTTCAAATGACAGCAACAAAGGGGCTATTATCCAAAGCTGGGGACACTATGCCTTTAAAAGACAGGCCTTCCTAAAACACATTTTATCTATTTTATAACTAGTATCACAAAATTAACAAGTATGGTTTAAAGCTTTAAACATGCCAAACTAGCTGGACCCTTAAAACAAGCAACAAAAATACTAATTTATCTAACACAATCCTTGAAGGAAACATACAGAATTTTAAACACAAAAAAATTAATCTCTCAACAAACACAGCTAGATGTTCACAGACAAGATTGCTGCTTTCTTGCTGACTGCCACGCAGACCACCTCACTGCACAACTTCAGAAATGGGATCGCATTATTGGGCAGGAAACGATACTGCCTCTGTGTTTCCTATTCGGTGTTTACACTCTTCAGGCTTTTACTTGTTACAGTCAGAGAACTCTGCATTCATTACTTCTATAAACTCACAACTGTTTATTTTGTTTTAAGACAAACTAGTCAGAGAAGCCTCTCTAAACCTGTGGATCCAGGGAGCCTTTCCTACAGTGTCTTTTGGAGTGAGTTTAGGACCTCAATGAGACTGCATTAAGGGAGACCAAAAATTCAAAACTTAAACACTGCAAATGTTAGTGGAAAAGGTTAAAAGACAAAGCGCACTGTCTAACAGAATCGAAAGTACAAACTGAACCAGAAAAAAAACCAAAACAAAATCACTGGTATTTCTTTATAAGAAACATGGCATATTGAGGAACTTCAGTCTTGGCTCTTAGAAGGAACGTCTCTTGTGCCTAATTCAGGTAACAATCTTATCCATTAACATTTAACCTGAGTTATTTCTATAATCCTGTTACAGTCTGTTATCTGCCATTTTCCTACAATACTGTCCCCACAGACATTCTACAAGGACGTATTTACCTGTAATTATGTAGTAGTTAGGAAGGTGTCCTTTCAACCAGGATCATTCTAGATTTCTTCTAATAATAATACATTTTGATCCAGGCAAGAAGTTCTACAACTACATCTTCGCAATCACAGAGTGACACATCATAAGGCTACAAAAACTCACTGCAATCCATGAAGGAAATTATAACAAGATAATAGCTTTAGTCAAGCCCCATATTTTGAATACGTGCAAGAATAACAGTTTTCCACAAGACAAGGTTCTCTCCCTTGTGTACTATCAATTCAAAACCAAACCGTAGTGGTGCAATAAGCAACAGCTTTATTGGAGCATTTGTGCAGTGAAAGGTCTATGATGGCTTTCACACCATTAGCCACATTTCAGGGAGACTTTTAAATCAGTAAGAAGAGATTAAATAGTATTACTATTAGGCACAGAATTCTAAAACAAAGATTGTAAATGCCAAGTTTATTAATTTATGAATCTCTAATAGAACACAGGAATACTGTTCTATACTGACTGACAGTGATACCTTCTGTTCAGTTACATAAATATCTACTCAGAACCCTCCAAAAGAAAAACAATGCACAGTTCCCGAGAAAATTATTTTGTTAATATAAGGGCACATCTGCTTCAAAAAAGAATATTCAAGCACCATTCACATTAACCATAAAAACCATTTAGGAATATTCACTCCTCTGGAAAGGCTGCAGAAAAGTAGGGTAAAACATTACTGAAAAACACTGCACCCTTCACAATGTTCAGAAAAGCCTCTGACAACTGCCTTAATCTCCCGTTACCATATCAACACATGCTGATGTATAGAAGTCAACCTGGAAATTCTCCAAGAAAAGGCGAAAGGTCAAGCTTAAAATGTTGTTTTTCTACTAGTTCTAAAAATAATAGCCACATCAGACACTAACAGAAACACTCTGACATTTTCTACAGTGTTCTTACAAGTATGCCACATTGACACCCTGGACAGCAGTATGAAATGTAATTTGCCCATTCACTATATGTTTGTATTTCTGTGAAAGAAAAGCATTCAGTTACAGAACCAGAACATATTCAAGCTTTCCTCTTGCATTTCCTCATATACTAAACTAGAGTTCTGGAGAATTTCATACTCCAACAGCAACTCTGGATATCATACAAGAAGCTCAGGAGATCCTTAGGCATTTTACAATATTTTCTCCTTCCATGTTTCTGACTACTGGCGCTGAAGAATCACTGCCAAGCAGCTCCCTGAATGAGGAGTTTAAAAATGTAATTATGTGAGAACACTGTATGTGTTAGCGCTAGGAAGCAGCCGTATGCAAAAGCAGTCTCTATTCAACAAGTTACTTGCACTTCCTAAGGAATCTTTCTCTGTATGTAACCTCAGGGAGAAACTTTAACAAAGATCCAGTCTTCTGGATCCAGGATTCCTTTCATGGTTTTATATTTATAGTACATCTTTAATATCCTTTTTCAGAGACAGCACCAGGGTATTTTTTCCACTGCATTATGTGCTACCTTTTCTATGAATTTGTGCTCTTGTCTCTCTACTTTTATTTTGCAGATTCATCTTGATCATCATCTTTTTGTAATTTTACAAACATTGAAACAATTCTGTCATTGAACTGTATGCAATTCCCAGATGTTTAAGTAGCTTCTTTTCCATTCATCAAATAAAGTCAGTCTTTACTTCTATGTTTGATTTTTCAAGCATCTTCAAATCTCTGACTTTTCACCATTACCACACAGTCCTGTTTTATCTTACACACTTAATTAAAGAAGCCTCCCTGCTGTTGGCAAAAAAAAAAAAAAAGAAATATCTTCCTATGCCATGCAGGTTACTAGCAAGCTTAAATGAAGCCTGAACATCTTCAAAAAGGAAAATAATTTTAGTGTACTTATGGTTGTGATTACATTCTTGCTAGGGCGAATGTAATATAAAGATGTAGTATTGTTTTCCTTAAGCTGTATAAATCCCTGCTCTCCTTCAGGCCAAGTATTAGCCAGCAATGACAGAGTTGGCAATAAAGCTCTAGAAGGGGGAGATGAATAGCCATCTTCTCCTTTGGTTTCTCAATGGCAACAGATCTGCACAGCATATTCATTATCCCAGTCTAAGACAGCATTAACTTGTATGTAATCTGCAACTCTGCTATCCATCACACATCATACGTAACAACTGATCTACTCACTTCCTCCTTCCTTCTTCATTCAGCAACACACATAGCGCTGCAAAAGAAATTATTTCCAGGAACAGTTCTGGATGTTCTGTCAAGAAATTAATTCATTACTTTCCCTTCGCTTCCTAGGCTTACATTTCTGGTTCATTTTTCAGCCTAGCTCAACATACGTTTCGTGTCTGTACATAACTCATTTAGTCCATTACACTAATAAAATTCTTCCATGGTAATACCCTACTAAACACTATCTCAAAGAACAAACAATTAATTCAAACTTGTCAAGGTAGTATACAAGACGAGAAATTTCAACACATTTTTAACACTTCGGATCAGACTATGCTATATTAGTAATAGATGTGAGAATTTCATATTATTTTCATACAGAAAGTAAAATTCATTTTTAAATATTATCACTTTAGAACAAGCAAATAAACCCAAGAAAACCAGATATCCTCGTAATTATACTATTACAGGATGTCTACTGTAGCAAGGAATAAGGATACAAAAATGAGCCAATAGTTTGAGTCATTACTTATTATTGAACTATTTGTAAAATGAAAAATGTATATAGACAATTTAAAATGAAGTTTAGAGCATGACACAGAGCTGCACTGCAACACTGAAATACCAAGAAGGGAAGTTTCTTTCTGGGGGAAACAAACCCCCAGAGGTCAGCTTAATACCTTGTTACTGTGCCAGCTTTAAAACCATCAAAGTTTGGCAAGGTCTGCAGGTTTGGATATTATACGCAACGAAGTTATGCTTGCCTTTCTTCCAAAACATGGTACATTTCAGGGGGAGGGGGGCAGCAGGGAGAAAGTCTCTATTTCTCCCCCTAACAGGCCTGTACTCCATGTAGCTTTTATGTAGACTGCATCATCAACTCATCCATTCTCTCTGCAGCTGTTGCACATTTTGATATCTAAAACTGCATAAAAAAAATAGAGTATCTGGGGTTTTTTTTTCAAGTTAGGTGTTAAAGTGGTTAAAAAGCTCAATAGTCCTCTTCATCTATTTTCCATTCTCTCAATTTTTATATCTATTATTTAGAACACATTTATCAACTTCCTGAAATTAACAGAAGTACAGCCATCCTTGAAGAAAGTACAAGCTCATGCAAAACAAAACTAACCAACAGCCCCCCCCAAACTCAAACTAACCAACCAAAAATAATTACTAAAAAAATAAAAATTAATTCACACCTGACATGATCCCAACTGTATAAATAAGAATCTATTCTCTTTCCCCAAATTACTTGCTTTGTGGACACTGAGCTGAAAGCTACTACAAAGTAATCATCTGAACATTCAGCTTTCCAGATTGATATTAAATTATTCTTAGCAATACTATTTTATACTAAAACAATGTTTTGCAATTTTAAAGAAAGCCTTTAACAACATTAAAACAATACATTCAGGCATTTAATTAAACAGATTTAAATTTGAAGCATTAAGCTAAATATCCTACAGCATTTCTAAGAACTTCACTGAGCTGCCATAATTTCTGTCAGCATATGTAGTACTGAATGACTAGTAAAATACCTGAATTGAAACTATTCCAGTCTAGCAGTTTGTATGATCTTGTGTTACCCATAATTCCGACAAAGGCTGAGTTCAAAACAGCAAATTAGTAGATCAGTTATAGGAGCAGAATAGTGAAAAAAAAACTACCAACAAGAACACAATTGACAACACCACTCCACAGGAACTGGAAAGACACAGACAGCAGAGTTAATAAGAGGCTGAAATAGAAAGGGAAAAAAGGAGCATGCTATAGCAATCTAGCACTAGGCATGATCAAAGTGTACAGTATATAGCAATTATTGTCTTATCGATAAGTTCTCAATCTACCTTCAAATGTTCTTTCCTCTTCTGCATTTTCCTTTTTATTTGCCAGTTTATTTGTTTCCTCTAATATTTTACAGACTTATAAGACTCGAATGCTTAGTATGATCATCACTAGATCAGAAATTTTTTTCCTACTTCTTCACCTTCCTTCCCATAGCCATGTGCCTTCATTCCCCCTTTTGCTTTCATTGTTTTGCAACATACTGAATTCAAAGTATCATGCATCTTACATTCACTTGTCAGGAGCAATCTACAAGTCCCACAAAAACACTGCAAAGAGCCACTTAGTTCTGCAAATACGCATCTCTATCTTATTTCTTATCCTGCTTTCAGTCACTTGGTAAAATTAAAGAAGTGCATAATGCAAGAAATTAGTTTTTAAAACATCTAAGCAAAATTGGTTATTTTTTTTTTCATTTTTCTCTTAAATTGATCACACAGTAAATTTTGCACACAAGTGACGTGTATCACAAATCTGTTGAAAATACAGAAACCTAAGAAAACTTTGTGGCTAAGAAAAGGACTCGCATATAAATTATACTTTGACATTTTTCTTAATCTTCACTGCATAAATAAATCTTAAAAATAGGACAAAAAGAACAATATTGTGCACTTATATGCTTTAAAAAAATCTCTTAAAGTAGGGGGTTTTCATTCAAACTAAGTCTCAGATTTTATTTCATGTTGTCAGTTTACTGAAGCTTTAGATGAACAACAATCTACCTGCTTGCAGAATTACTTGCCTTGGGCCACAGGAAGAAGAAAGAAAAGGAAAAAATATATTTTTTTTAATTGCTCTTAAAGATGCATTTGCACAAACTTTATTACTCCTGACTAGTGCATGCAAAACCACTACAGGCGCTATTTCTTACTCTGCTCTGTCTGCATTTTTAAGTGTGCTGTAACTCCAACTTTTCACAGAGTATTCCTCAGCTTGTCTCAGTGACTACAACAACAAAGTCTTCAGAGTCAAAAGTCACTTAATTCTGATGTCAGAACTAGGACATGCAAAATACACATGTTCCAGTACTGGGGTTCCCAAGTAAATATTACATAAAAATCTTAAAAGTACTGTTCGGTGTATGTTTTTAAGAACAGAAACAAAGCTGTTAAGGTTTTATCAAAAGAGGTTAAAAACACGTATTGAGCTAAATTGTAGTCATTAGTCCTTAAGGATTTCAAGGAGCTGAAAATTAGAAAACATTCGTAGTTAAGATCAAGTATTTAATCTTATTTTTGTTTGAATGGGAAACTTGCATTAAGTTTTAATATTAAAAAATTGTAAAAAAAAAATTAAACCCTCAATAATTCAAAGAGTTTTTAGTGCAAAGTTACTGGATTCAAAGTACTTTATGATTTCATTAACTTGCTGGAAAGTTTCTCACTAAAAAGATACCCTCTGAATGACTTACTTTTCAAGCTTAAATGATTGTCTGAAAATATTGCTTTTAATATACATCGTTAGAATAGATTTGTATCTATTCAAATACTGATATAAAGTTATCAAGATTACAAGTACGCTATCATTATGCCTGGACTCAGGCAAGGAAATTGTTCTTGTGTTAACATACCAGGATTGTGGATGCGATCCAGGAGCTTCACAGACCGTGCACTGACAACACCACCAACATGGACAAGAAAGCCTGGTGGAAAGGTCGTCAAGGTAAAAAATGGAAATTCCTGTTATGATTAAAAACAAACATCAAATGACTGCTTACCAACCACTGCCAATTGCCAATAAACATGCAGTGAACTGATAATTTCCCTGAAATACAAGCAAAGCAGTTACATTAGGCCACACGTCCTTCAGGCTTACTAAGCACTACGTAACCATACATCTTCATATACCCATAGTATAATAAAAGCAGAGGTATTATACAATGTAAGAATACTTTTCCCCCATAAAGTTTTATCTCAGCACAATATTAATAAATAATCAAAACTTTATACATTTGTGTTAACAAAGCCTCTATTGGTCCACTTTTAGGATGGCAACTAAACAACATAATTCTACTTTCATTAGCTGATATGAGATAAAGGAACATTTTTCTCCACTTTTTAGGTCTTATTGTTACAACTGACTGCAGTTTGTTTCTGAAGCACAGGGTAAAACACAAACTGTAGTCTTGCAAGAATGATAAATGTTTTATTACAGGAAGCATACCTAAAAAATACTAACAGACTGCTCTGCTAGTGTCGTAAACTCTACATGTAACAAGTAAATATCCATCTTCTAGAATAAAATGCAAGTCTTTGAAATAAAGACTTAAACTAAGGAAATTAACTTCCAATTCATTTGCATAAGCTAGTTTTTATCAATTCATAATTAAAATGATTAATAAGTTTCAGCAGCTACTCAAAAAGCTAGTTCATACAGGAGTCAAAGTAAGCGATAACAGCAATTTTTAATTACACACGTGATGAAATAAGAGTCTTATTCAAAGGAGGTAAGATTTTTCTAGTTTTGGGCTTATTTTCTACAGAGACATTCTATGGAATGTCTAATATAGACATGATAGCACACTTATGGGGGAAAGGCAATAGATTTATGTTCAGCAATTCTAAATGCAGAGAGGCAAAAAAAGAAAAATAAAAGAAAAATCATGCAATCGTGGTTTGTATAGTCATGATGATTGGTTTAATGGAAAAAAATAAACACCATAATATTATATGAGAGAAAGTACAATATAGGTTCCTTTCTCACATACTTGAAGCACTTGCAACAGTACAGCTCAACTGAGCTTCTACGTAAACAGTGTACATGCTGCAGATTAAATGAGGATCACAGTACTTCCAGCAATACATGGCATGAAAAGTCCTCTTAAACTAAAGCCCAATGGAGATTTAAAAATTAACGCTTCAGAATTCTTACCAGCCTTGTTATTAGAACTCTTACAACTTTTAAAAGGTCCTACAAACTTCAAGTTTTCTGGATTTCCATTTGGCTTAGACTTTCAAAATTAAGAGGCAAACTTTGAAATTAGCAACCACAGTATCAAGCAGGGGAGAGAAACAAACAAAACAAAACAAACCACTCCACCACAACAAAACACCAAACCCTGCAGTCATGCCTTATGATACAATTAAAAAGCAGGAAGATTTCACCATTGGACTCCACCAACCTGCCTGACTAATCTGTCTTCAGAAGCAGTGATGGATCTCTAGAGAGGGCTACATAAAAACTCCCCCAGAAGGTTCTAACAGATCACAAAATGCTTTGCACATTATCAGATCAGTCAGAAAGCTCTGACTACACCACACTCTGAACTCTTTTTCTGTACATCTCTCATGCCAAAAAATGGAAAAAAGGCAGTACATCAACACTTCATTAGAACCCTCTTTCACTGTGGCTCTGTAATAACAACTGTTCAGTGATTCACAAGTATGCTCATAATATTTGTCCTTGTATAATTCCATGACACTAATTCTGCATAACTTTATAT